CCCAAAACCTCTGTTCAGGAGTACCCACGTGGATTTCCTCAAATTTAAGCACGAAATCGATGTTCTCCCTCATCATGTATAGGCAGAAGTCTATGTATTTCTGTAGTTTTTCTTTCTTTTTGTGATAATTTTTTCTTGATCTTTTGGCCTCTTTTTGTTTGCGGTTCATTTTGCTTTGACTTTGGTTGATTTCACCAAATTCTGTTTCGTACCCAGCCGGAATACAGCGGTATTTTGATTCACAATAGCGGGCTTGGCGGGCCAGATCGTAATTTGCTGAAGTCGAAGGCCAAAGCGTCGGGCGAAATGTAAGGTGACCGGATGACTCTCAGTTTGTGTCATTGCGTCTTTTTCATTACATCTTCTCCAGCCACATCGCGAAGGCCTCAACCTCAACTTTTGCGTATTATTTGCTTATTATACTTGTATTACTACGCTATTATATGTTATGATCCGTCTATATTATTTTGTTACTGTTCGTCCAAGAATGATGTATCGAAGTTCTCGATGGCGTCCCAAAACCTCTGTTCAGGAGTACCCACGTGGATTTCCTCGAATTTAAGCACGAAATCGATGTTCTCCCTCATCATGTATAGGCAGAAGTCTATATATTTCTGTAGTTTTTCTTTCTTTTTGTGATAATTTTTTCTTGATCTTTCGGCCTCTTTTTGTTTGCGGTTCATTTTGCTTTGACTTTGGTTGATTTCACCAAATTCTGTTTCGTACCCAGCCGGAATACAGCGGTATTCTGATTCACAATAGCGGGGCTTTGGCGGGCCAGATCGTAATTTGCTGAAGTCGAAGGCCAAAGCGTCGGGCGAAATGTAAGGTGAGACCGGATGACTCTCAGTTTGTGTCATTGCGTCTTTTTCATTACATCTTCTCCAGCCACATCGCGAAGGCCTCAACCTCAACTTTTGCGCAGTGTTGATACGCCCAGACATCCAAATGGTTCCCGCAGGTCTCCAACCGGCCCAGCTGATCAAATAATTTATCTGCTTTGGGACAACCAAAGCATTCCAAATGAATTGAGGGGAATCTTAGTTTTCTTAAAAAATCCTTATCATTTATCCCGCCTTTGTAAGAAATCGTAGAGTTTGGGTTCTTTTTTATTCTCCTGTAGAAATTCTCCGTGATTGCTTCTAACTGGGAGATATGAAATGCCTTGACGCCCCGCGGCACCCCAAACGATAGTTTGTGGATTTTCGTCCGTACGAATTTGCACGCCTTCTGATCTTTTTCACCTAAATCCGACCAACGAAGCCCAATATCAAAAATGAAGGATTGCCCGTAGGTATCTCCGACTTTAATGATACGGTGATACCTGTTTATATTGTTACTTGTAATATCGAGTCATTATGATTATTTTCATCACTATTTCATTACTTATATTACTCGTCAAAAAGTGATAAGTCGAAGTTTTCTATAGCGTCCCAAATCCTCTGATCAGGGGTACCCTCGAAGATCCCCTCGAATTTTACTATCATGTCTATGTTTTTTTTCATGATAAAGATACAAAACTCTTTATACTTCTTTAACTTTTCTTTTTGTTTGTTTGTAGTAATTTTTCCTCGATTTATTGTTGTTTCCGATCCATTTTTCTTTGAATTTGATTAATTTCACAAACCCTTTTTTATACGCGCGGGGATGGCTAAATTATGTCATATTGTTATATAGCTTTTATTTTCTATTTACGCGAGGTAGGAGATCTTTACAATGGTTTTAACTAAAGTTCGCTAATGTTCTCTTCTTCAAATTTTGATCTTGATCGTCGTTTAAATTGTTCTTGTCTTCTTCATTGGTTCTGTCGTTGAGTTTTCTAGCGTTTCATAACTTAATCTTTACTCCGCTAGTCCACTGAAGGTTGGGGTGTTGTGCACGCCCTTTTATAGTAACGGTTGAGGGAAACTTGCAGACGTCATCAACCAGAGTGGGCTGATCCTTATCCAACCAATCAGCGTTGTAAGTTAGAGATGTGGGTTGGTCTTAGAAGCTCGTTCCAGCTCTCATATCTTGCTTGTTTAAGGCGTTGTCGCACTAGTCGAGTTGGTCTTCTGCTCAATCGATCGATACTTAAAAATGTTCACAACTTAAAATATTTATCATCAACATGCATTAAAACTATCAAACATTGTTTCTGTGAACCTTATTTTATAACTTAACTATTTATACTACTACTTTAATCGATTTAAACTTCCTCTGACGTAACCCATAAAATGCTCGACCCCGCATTATAAAAAACACATTTGATTGACATAAGAGCTTCGCAGCTGCCTCGAGCATGCATATTTTCAATTATGACAGTTAAACTTGGCAACGACATACGATTGTTGATCCAGATGCGCACGTTTTGACAGGATGATTGATATTTTCACCTTACTACTTAATTCAATCCCACGAAATGTCATGCATGAAAGGAAATGTGATTAATGGTTGCGAATGGGCCGAAATTATATTTACTCAGGCGTCTTGTGGCAAAAATTAATCACTAATCCCTGTCATGCTCTTGCTACTTCTATTTTTATGGCTATTTTTATATGCGTATCTCAATCACTATGAAGCCTTGCGTAACAATCCTCCTCACCTAGAATAAGCTGTCCCCAGCTTCGTGTGAGCTATAACGAACTTAAGTTAACTATATACCATACATATATGTGTCTACAATTTCCCAACTATTTTAATTTTCTTTTGAGCTCGGCGTGGCTATCACGGGCATATTACCAAATACCTAATAACTGAGACTATACGCATAGCACGTGTTGTTTTAATCTATGACAACACTACATAATCGATTATACGAGATACAACTGATCTGAATATGATTTACTTATGCCTATATGTACCTCAGGGGTAATCTAGCTATAATAATGTTATATATATCCAACACGTCAGAATATAGCGATTTAAACCAAAATTAATGTGAAAACAAGGCGTAAAAAATTCTTGTTTTCCTGAGTGTATGTACCAGGGACTTAAACGAAATTATACATTTTGTAGATGCAATCAGAAAGTGTACCCAAAATTATTCAAATTTCATAAAATATCTTATCATTGCAACAGCGAAAATTGTATTCAGATTCTTGGTTGATCAACTCACATAACAGGAAATTATTATAAAGCTCTTCCGACAAAACATCTCTCTGTAATAATAACCTAAACCTATTTATACGTCTTCTTAATAATTCTCCAAAATATTTCAACTCATGCAAACAAATTTTATACGTATAATTCTTAATATTACTGAACTCATTTCATTTATTTTTTAATCGTCATGCACAGCAAACCAAACTCCAAAATGTAGGTTTTCATCGACAATATAAATACCGAGTCTACATAGAGAAAACAAGAATGTGTCTAATATTTAAGCTTTTGGCTTAAAAAAGAATTATAATCCATTACAACAAGTTTGGGAGACCCTTGACTGCCCCGGGGAAAGAGAAAAAACATATTATCAACGAATGACGCAAAACTAAAAGCATCAGAATTAAATGTATGTACTGACCCAAATAAAAACATGCATGCGCTATCCTACGGCAACATGTTTAATGAGCATGCTGAGTGTACCTAAGGAATTTTAGTTGAACAGCTATACTCCCGTGTTTAATATTATCAAACATAAACAAACAAATGATAAACATATACGTGTAACATGAGAATGACAAAAACTTATATTATACAAATCTTAAAATGCGTCCAGTTTCATGTCCATAATACAAGCGTTCTGACCATCAGGAAGGATCCGGAAAACTCTGAGACTTTCGTACGTCTCAATAATCGTATTTCAAAGACCACGGAGGCTTCCACTGGTACCTCTTTGGCTGGACATTTGACGTAGCCATCACATTAGGATAGAGGGAGTACATGTCGTCAAACTCGTCTTGGACTGCAGACTGAGGGCAAAACGACTGTAGTTTCAATTCTAGTTCATGGGAAGTGTAGAGGTTGTGGACAGTTGTCTTGAAGAGACAACCAAAAAATGAAAAAGAGTCTAGCATTGCCATAAGTAGAAGTATTGATGAATACAGAGCGGGCGTTTCCTTCGAACTAGTCATCAGGTCGCTTCAGCACCCGTTTCTAAGCAATGTTTGTAATGTTGATTGTTCTGACTTCTTCTGAGTATATATTGGACTGATTGAGTTTCTGAAAGGCCGATCCTGCACCAAATGTTAAATAGCTTTTATTTTCTATTTACGCGAGGTAGGAGATCTTTACAATGGTTTTAACTAAAGTTCGCTAATGTTCTCTTCTTCAAATTTTGATCTTGATCGTCGTTTAAATTGTTCTTGTCTTCTTCATTGGTTCTGTCGTTGAGTTTTCTAGCGTTTCATAACTTAATCTTTACTCCGCTAGTCCACTGAAGGTTGGGGTGTTGTGCACGCCCTTTTATAGTAACGGTTGAGGGAAACTTGCAGACGTCATCAACCAGAGTGGGCTGATCCTTATCCAACCAATCAGCGTTGTAAGTTAGAGATGTGGGTTGGTCTTAGAAGCTCGTTCCAGCTCTCATATCTTGTTTGTTTAAGGCGTTGTCGCACTAGTCGAGTTGGTCTTCTGCTCAATCGATCGATACTTAAAAATGTTCACAACTTAAAATATTTATCATCAACATGCATTAAAACTATCAAACATTGTTTCTGTGAACCTTATTTTATAACTTAACTATTTATACTACTACTTTAATCGATTTAAACTTCCTCTGACGTAACCCATAAAATGCTCGACCGCGCATTATAAAAAACACATTTGATTGACATAAGAGCTTCGCAGCTGCCTCGAGCATGCATATTTTCAATTATGACAGTTAAACTTGGCAACGACATACGATTGTTGATCCAGATGCACACGTTCTGACAGGATGATTGATATTTTCACCTTACTACTTAATTCAATCCCACGAAATGTCATGCATGAAAGGAAATGTGATTAATGGTTGCGAATGGGCCGAAATTATATTTACTCAGGCGTCTTGTGGCAAAAATTAATCACTAATCCCTGTCATGCTCTTGCTACTTCTATTTTTATGGCTATTTTTATATGCGTATCTCAATCACTATGAAGCCTTGCGTAACAATATGATCAATTACTGCCAAAGCTTCTTTTGCTGTAGCAGAATATGAGAGCTCGGCCGAATTTAAGCTACGACCAGCATATGCGATGACAACTTCCCGGTTATTCTGAATTTGACCAAGGGTCATTCCTAATCCATCCAAACTTGCGTCTACGTATAAATCAAATTGTTTTGTGAAGTCAGGGTAACACAGAATTTAAATTGAATTGAATTTATTAATAATCTGGATAGCAGCTTACAAGAGCTGAAGTATACAAAATTATTTACAGTAAGAATACCCAATATACAAATACACAGTAAAGATATTAAATTTACAACTACACTGTTAAAAATATCTCTGTTATTTTACAGTAAAAAGTACTGGCAGCTTGGACGCCAGAGCAATTACTGTAAAATTACAGAAACTGTATTTTAACAGAAATCTGTTATTTTACAGAAACTTTATGTTAATATATAAACCAGAAAAATAGCTTTAATATACAGTGCAATATACTGTTAATATACAAAAAATCTTAGTTATTTTACGATAAAAAGTACGGCAGCTTGGACACTAGAACTACTGTAAATTACAAGTTAATTTTACAGTAAAAGTACTGTAAAATTACAGAGACTATATTTTAACGGAAATCTGTAATTTTACGGGAATATCATCACGTTATTGTATAAAGATCAAAGTATAGAGCAATAGTTTTTAACATATTATATTAAAAAATATAAAATCATACAACTGTTATAGGGAATTACAGTTAAACATAAAACTGAACATCGAATGTCAGGATAAAATAAATATGGCATTTAATACCATGCAACATAATTTACAAATAAACCTTAGGTGCATGAAACGCAATATTTGATGATAAATGTCTCCTTAAACAGCATTTTTTTATAACAATAACAAAGTAACATATGACAAAATCGTCAAATTATACGGTTTTTAACATCTATATGAACTATCAGTAAGCTCCTTATAAAGTCCATTTGCTTTGATAGTCTTTTAATGTGTTTGCTAAGGTTAAAACCTTAGGGTTAATGGAATGTTGTTTCCCTTTCTTTTTGGATCTTTTGTTCCCTTTTTCTGGGTTTAAATTGAGAAAACATCTATATTTTAAGAAAGAAAAATACGATATTTAAAAATTCTAATTATAAAGTTAAAATATCTGCATTCTTATTTCATGGGTTTTAAAAGATATGCATGTATATCCAATGCTAACCTTTGAATGAATTCCAAAGTAGCTGCTAACTCGTCGGGATATGCTATATTTAACACATAGTATGAGGCAAACAACATCATCATTCCTTCAGCTATGCTTGTGAGAGAGTCGTTTACCACAATACCATCCACCACCAAACAGCACCTTTCCCCCAGCAACTCATCGCCTATTTATGATCCAATTAATAAGGCATAATTTAGTGTTATTCGCAGTCAAGTGCATTCCACTGGGGACAGGCAAATAAGCTATAATTGTGTATTATTTTGTCAAAAATATAGTCAATTGTTTTTCATGTAGTTGAATTAATGGATTAATTAATTACTACCTGGATTAATTTTTCTCCTAGCCTGAATAAAATAAACTTCCTGGGTGGCTATAGCCGGATGGATATATAGATAATATATAATATAACCATAAAACAAACACTTACCAAATACAGATATGTATGGTGTTGTAGGACAGTTTTTCACAACTTCTGTAACAGTGGCAGTTACCTAAAATATACGAAGCTAGAACTTAATAACTGAAATTTCTGACATATTCACCAAAATCCAGTTGAATCAAGCCCATTCATTCACCTCAACTGCATGTGGATATAAGCCGAGTTTAAATAACTTTTAAACCTGTCATGAATGAGTTATATTTATAATATAATACTAACAAATGTATACATTAGTCAATTAAGTATTAAATAAATCTATAGACTTGCCTTATTGTCTGAGTTTAACAATCTGTTTAAGCTAAACTGTAAATTATAAATATTTAAACTCGGCTTATCCACAGTTGAGGTAAATGAATGGGCTTGATACAACAAGCTACTGCACAATTGACAATTCCCCCTTCCAAATTGCCCTTTTCAAAATTTATGTATCTATTGGAGTATCTGATATTTTGGGATAATTGTTACTCAAATGATAGTGTATTGTTCTTATCTAATAACCACTAAACCATCACTATCAGATATCCCAATATCAGATATTTCAAAAGATCAATAATTTTTGAAATGGTCAGTTTACTGCAGTACTTACATCAAATGACTTAATCATAAGCTCTTGAGGTTCTTCAAAGTACGCCAAAAGCATTAGAAATACACCATCAATCTGGGTACTTGCATTTTCTCTGCAGACATAGCAGCTTCTATACGAATAAGCAATTGCTTCAGGTTTTTCTTTGAAGGAACAACACACTCTTTCATGAACTTGAATATGGTATCCGCTTTGTCTCCAATACTTTCTATCATGACTTTCTGGATCTTAAATCCCATAAGAAGTTCAAAATGCTGGAACATGCAATCTTTCTCAAATAAGAAAGGCCACTGGATTTGAACTTCTTGTACTGGCACAGGGTTTGGATCAGTTTGGTTGATTAAAAGACGCTGAGATGTGTACGTATTTTCCATAAATTGCAAAACTTTGTTTTTGTCCTGGTTTTTCTTAGGAAACTCTGAAACAAGCCAATCTTGTTTCGATTTTTGACTGCTAGGTGTCTCGTTTGTAGGAAGCGCATCGGGTTGCCAGTTTATACATCCGTTATGAATCAGCCCAGGTCTTTTTTTCCCTTTGATTTTGGTTTCAGAATCATTATCATCATCCTGGAACACTCAACTTTACAATAGCTTTGCCAGCTTTTCTATTTAGGTTTGCCATCTTTTCTTCAAGTTGTTTTCGCAGCGATTCGTAACCCGAACCAATAACAGTATCACCAATAGTGTCACAGAATGAATCCTTGTACTTGGATACCATCATTTCGGCAATACGGGCCAGGTTTCTTCTTCCAGGAAGTGAGGTGTGCATTTTAATATCATCACATATTATTCGTACCATCTCACGTCTATCACGCGGTGTTGGTCGTACCTTACTGGTACAGGCATCGAGCAAAGATTTAGGAAATTTATTCCAGGGTATTTGGAAATTATTGATCCAGTAGTTACTTGTCTTCCCTCCAGATGCACTATCATTATCTGATTGGATATCAATATCATCAAACTGAATTGGAGTATTTCGTCCGGAACATGGTGAATTAAGTGAACTGGTGTTACTATTCACTGGTGTCGTGTTTGAAGTGTCCTTCCAGGAGGGCAATGCAGGCATAGTTATTTGTGCAACAGAGGCTTTTGCTACAGAAATGTGAAGCATACATATGTTGCATGCAAATATAAGGAAAAGCACAAGCAAAGATAAAACAATACAATGCAAAGAAGCATATGCAACATAAACACAAACCTAAGCACAGGAATCCACAAATTAAAGGAACTTAAAAAGTATTCATTGTTGAATAAAATGTATTCATTCTTAATAGAATGAGTACACGTACATGCTGTGCATAAAATTTATGTTTTAATTTGGTTGTTAATTGTAAAGCCTTATCACCATGCATACACACCTGCCCCACAATGCCGCAATAATTTTCTTATTTGTATCGGTTTAAGCACATCAGTCAAATCTTGCTCTTGAAGAAGTTGTAGATCTTCAACACTATCAACTCCCATCCCAATCAATTTATCTTTTGTTACCTCAATCAAATCTACTGACAACTGGGGAAGTAACTTCTGAAGTAGTTGTACAATCTCATCCATGTCTACAATATCTTGTTACAGCTACTGTAGATCTATGGCAAGATCAAAAATTAGGCTGGCAGAATTGTATATATATATATATATATATATATTAATATATATATATATATATATATATATATATATATATATATATATATATGTAAAGGGTGTACATAAAAAAACTGCAAATGCCATAATTTGTATGCACGAGATCATACATTAGAATTTCATTGCCTGTTGAACTAATTATGTTCCGGCATTTTTTCACATTGTGTGTTTATTTTTTAGTAATGTACACAGAACGTATTTGCAAATCCAAGAAGTGTAATTATTTGCACAGCCATATGGAAATTCTAAGGTGTGATTTTGTGCATCCAAATTATGGAATTTACAGTTTTTTATATACCCTGTTTATATACTTTCGCAAAGTTAGGTAAAGTTACGGCTATAACCCAGCAAACTAGTCTATATAAATATAACCCATGCAACCAAGGTAGCTTTTCAAAAATTTAAGCTAAAACTGCATGTTTTAAAACAATGACTTGCCCTTTCTCCATCGTGTATGCTGGCAAACAGCAGTGTGATTTGAGATCAGACAACTTAACACAACTGAATCCTGACTCTCTACTAACACCAATTTTATAATATCCCATTTCAAAGTGATATTGTGCTGGAACTTTTTTAACCAGAAGGCACACTGTATCATCTTTATGTTGAAAAATCATTATTATTTGACCCAATGCTAAATTACTCTGTTGGCAATCTAGGACAATATAAAAATCTTTTTGGTATTGAATACCATCAATAACTGCCACAGAAGAGGTGACAACTTCTTCATTTATTGAGTTATGGTTGCAAAAGGCATTTTTGATGCTATCATTATACAGATCTACATTAAATGGGATAGCACTTTCAAAATTTGTGCTTGCACCAAAAAGTGAACCATTGTTAAGGTAAGCCTGTAAAAGTTGATGCCGCTCAGCAAATGTGTGACATATATTGATAAAATTCTGGCTGTAGCGAGCACACCTCTTAAAGTATGAATGCTTACTCTCAAAACGAAGAGTCCAAACTCTTATCAATGGACCAAATTGTAAAATAAGTCTTGGGTAGTGTGCCATATAGTGGTGCTTTGGTCTCACTGGCTTGTCAGGAAAGAGTGAAACTCTTTGCTCTAAATAATCTTCAATTTTTACTCTTAAATGTGCAACTTGTGCCAAACTAATTTCTGGTGCACATATAAGCTCAACAACTTCCCTTAGAAGTAGAGTTAACTGCCAGACAGGATCACAGGTGTTGGCAACTCTTGGACCAATATAAAGTGGTAAAAGTTTTAGCAAACACCAGTTCTGAACAGCATGACCACCTAATTTACTACCTTGTTCAGAAATTATACTTGGTTTATTATTGGCATCACTTCCACTATACTTAAACTTTGCCACTATATGATTGAATTGGGCATATGTAAACCACTTGTTAACTTTCACAAAATGGTGTATATACAAGGCCAAATCATAATTAACAACACCTTCAAACAGATCATGGCCTAAACAAGGTGGTAAACCTGGATTACAAACGTGATAATATTTTAATTCATTGAAAATTGAATTAAACTTGATACCCTTATAGTTACCTAAGTCTGGATTACTTTCTACATTTTGCAAGTTGGCATTGTAATTATCAGGGGACCTTTGAGAAAAAGTGTCAAAAATATCACCAAGCTGAATGTTTTTAGTTTCCATAAGACAAAATCTGCACACATATGGAGAGCTGCTAAAGTTTTCTACAAATCCCCCGATAGAATGACTACCTAAATTATCGCCAAGAATCATAGTAACAGTTCCTCGTATGTATTCTTTCTCAACAAGAACACCATGTTCTTCAATTTTTTTCAGATCATTTACCAGGATGCGAAACACGGCATCTTGTCCAAAAAACTTAAAATCGCTTTCTCTTACAAGGAGAACAAGCTGCATTTGATCAATTTGTGATCTATTTTGAGGGTAAATGTTTCCTAATGTTACATAAACAGCTAAAACTTTATGCTTTTTTTTCGCTGATCCCAGAGGATTGACAACTTCAAATGCATCCTGGTAGAGAATGAGCTTTATTGCATTTCCTAGCTCAACAAAAAGAACATTACTTTTGGCCACACTACCATCCATGAAATCTCTTAATATATCATCTGAATTTAAAATAGGATTTGCAAATTGCTTCTTTACACCTGCATCTTTTAGAAGTTCCTGTATCGTTTCAATTATTGGTACATACTCAAAATATCTTTTCACATGATTTTTATCAAAACCTAAGTATATTGTAACAGGGGCAACATATCTGAATTTACTCCTAAAAAACTGTTTTCTCCTATACTCAGTGCTTAGTGCTCCTTTATTCCCATGGGCCAGATTGAATATATCATTTGGCAAAAATTCATTTACAATTTGGTCAATTACTGCACTTCCAACAGACATTTCTCCCAATTTAGTTTTTATATGATGTTTTAAGTGAGTTTGAGACATGTTATGCATTGCCTGCATTTCCTGGATGATCTTTTGGATAGTGCTAGCAGGCACATGATATTTGGCATTTAGTTTCAGGTAAAACAATGCCAAATTTTTAACAAATAACTCACTAATATCCTCTTGGGTATCATCATTTTCAAGATTGTCATTGTTGGATGTCTCTCTGAATCAAAAACCATCAAACTGGCTTAAATTTGAAGTGTTATTAGTTGCTTGGCTATTTACATGTACAAGTAACTCAGAAGACACCTCTCTGTTGGCAGGATTTTTATGACGCCTACTTAGATGAGAAGTAAATGATGATTTTATTTTGAATTTTGAGTTACAGCCGTTAAAAGGGCAAGTTACCTCGACACCTTGGGTAATGTGATCTTTTTGATGAGCAATTAAATCTTTTATGCTTTGTAGAAACTTGGAGCAAAAACTACATTGGCATTGTATCGGCGCAGAGCTAACAGTATTAGATCCCTCTCGCCTTGCATTTTCATGATCTCTTGTAACATGCGATTTGAATGCACTATATGTTCGAAACCTTCGAGCACAATTTTTAACAGCGCAAGGGAACGTTACATTGGCCTCGTTGGAATGAAGCCTGTAATGGTTGGCATAAGCTCCCAGCGAACGACTTCGATGAAAACACGTAGGCGCCTTGCAACGTACATACTAATTAACAATACGGAAATATATAACACAACGAGCATTGAAGCGGAAAGACATAAGTAGTACTTACTAATTCACATAAACACAAACTAGGACACACAGCCTCGAGGAAAGTGGTCACTTCAAAACGACACTCGACTGTCCGATGTTGAGACGCGACTTATCACGCTGATTATCCAACGGTAGGAACGTAAAAGCCTCAGCTCTCGGCAGGAATTAGTATAGAAGATTCTCTGATAAGTACCCAACGGTGTAAAACTTTTAAAACAAATATTTTAGCCTTTTTAGGCACGTAAATGCAGTTCTTTCGCACTTCTCCGGCTTTTCAACCTTTCTTCCGGCTTTGCAACTTTTTGCCAGTGAAGACAAAACTTCACAGTAAAGATCAAAGGTCAACAAAAACCACAATCACATTTCTGTATCACGTGTTACTCACGGACACGGTTTGAACAGCCATTAGCACTGAGAATTTTATAATGATACTCGAAACGTGGCTAGTATTTATTTATTAGGGAAAATATTACATATTTTGATTCGAAAGAGTTAAAACAAAACAAATTAAATGATTATTAAGAGTATATTATGACTTTATGTCTATTCGCAGTGCATGGAGTTCACATGCACGCTACTGACTATTAAACAAGCTTCAATAAAAAACAAACGAAATAAGCTTGTTTTTCAACAGGAACTACGATTTTTCCGGTTTATATCATGTGCAAATACTAATTAAAAGCTATTTCAGCCTATTTGCCATCATTGACAAATTGAAGCCCGCAAGAGACGAACATTTTTTTCCTGTAAACAAGTCAGTTTGGCTTGGCATTTCTTTTCGTGTGTGCATACGTCCGATACAGCAAACAAAAATTTCTGGTCGGGCGTACACACGAACAGTTTTTGGTTAAAAAGCTAACATGACCAGCTTTTGTTTGAATCAGGCACCTCGTCTGGCTCATGCATGAGTCATGATTCATGTGCAAGTAAAAATTTCTCGATTTTTACAACACATTATCTATACTCTATACTATAGCCATAGGAATTATAGCAGAAAATTATCCCTAAGCCTAAGATACAGAGTATGTACTTTAACAACATTTTACTGTAATTTATCTTTACAGTAAAATCACTACATATAAGACTACAGCTTGTCTGTTAAATATAAGACTTCTGCTTTTTTACAACATTTTACTGTTAATTTACTGTCCCAGTAAAATCACGGAAAAATGTTACAATAAATTATCTGTTAAAATACAGATTCTTTTTTTATTACAGCAATTAATACTGTATTTTGAGAATTACAAATCAATTACTGTAAAAAATTACAGAACTTTTTCTGTAAAAATACATTTATTTTTAACAGTGTATACTAGGGAAATTATTTAGAAAAGTAGCTACAAAACAGACAATCCATAGCTAATTTATAAAATTCTGAAAACTACTTTAATGAGTCATTATAAACTACGATACTAGAAGGTAAAAACGAGTTTCTAAAACGACTTGTTTTACAATCAATTAGGTTGACATGGTGTTCATTACGAATAGAATATTTAACTGAGTTCATGCGTCTATCCGGAACGAGATCGTGCAACTTATGTTCAGGATGAAGAAGTTTTTTTGAAATATGACATACATATATCATTTCTTCTTTGGCTAAGTCATTGAATTCCTTTGTACTCTAAAACTTCGCGGTATGACAGATCTGGAAATATTAGTCTCAAGGCACGTTTTTGGATTCTTTCTATCTCCTCTTTTAAGTAATCTGGTGCCCCAAAGTTCCACACCTGACACGAGTATTCAAGAACGGGTCTTATGCATGTAAAAAACACTTGAATTAAGGAGGATTCGCTTACTCCGCTTCGTTTAAGTACCCGGAGAAAGTAAAGTCTCTTTGATGCCTTGGCCACGACATATTCAA